ACAGACAGACAGACAGACAGACAGACATAAAGTCTAATTAGTTCAAAACTAATCTAGGAAAATGCAGTTTGTTTCATATAGAGTCAAGGCAGCTGAAAGGGATTCCTATTCATACATGCAAAATAGATATGTCGAATTCAAGCAAAATCAAACCATTTAATTGTAAATAAGAAATGATAAATTACAATAGAATCATAAAAGTAAAAAGGATCTTCACATTCAAATTAAAATTAGCTGTAATGATAAAGTCTTTGATGCATAAACTAGGTTTTCAGGTTTTTTCAGGGTGTTCCATTATTAGGACTCTATCATAGGGTTAAAGAAAATGACCTAAATGTCTTAATTTTTAGATTAAGCGTATTGTGTTTTATTGACACTGCAAAAGAGCCAATAATATATCCTATTTCAAATTATAATGATTGAGGCATTATTTCCAGTGATTATTATTTTTTTCCATTCAGAAAAGAATGATGACATCAGTCATTCATTCTGGTCATCCTGGTTTAAGCAGAAAAAGACTGCATCATGCCTGTATTCTGACCTCCACGCTGGCAGGTGAGCTTTGGAGTGAACGTGAAGACACAGAAGATTGATTATTAAGTCACAGTGACACCGGGACAGGTAGTCAACTGTGCCTGGCAGCCAGTTTGACAATGAGGCATTATGGAGGCACATGATAGAGATGCTGGTAGAAACCTACAGAAACACCCTGGTTGCGGTTAGAGGCTTGAGTATGTATGTCTGCAGGTGAGCCCTTAGAGAACTAGAGTTAGAGAGATGACCAACTTGATAGATATAAATGCCTGGCGATGTAATTACAGAATGTTTGTGAGGAGAACATTAAGGTTCCTGGTAAAGAACAGACACAAATGAACAACTAAAGCATTTTTCACATGCAACCATATGAAATGCATAGATCACTGAGTTTTGTTGCATGAACATTTCATTTAAAAATAAATATATTATCCCAATTCTGGCTTTAAATTTCCATCATGTAAAATA